AAAATGAAATCCAGGTTCATTCATTCGAATAACGAATAATAATAATAATAATAATTTTTTGTTAAGTTTTTTCTTTCTATTGACTATAAAAACTCGCTATAGAAGTAAACTATAAAAATCTCTATAAATTAAATTTGTTTTAAATTATAATTTACGATATAGCGGAAAATATTCAACGCATCCTCTCTCTCTCCCTCTTCCCTCCCCTTCCTCCTCCCTCCGTTAATAATTACACCCCTCTATCTAAAATATCAATCGCGTAAAAAAGGGAAAAAACAAAAATGCTATAATATAGCAAAATAGTTGCGAATTCATTTGCAATATATCGACCTTTAACCGATTTCTTATTATTATTATTATTATTATTATTGATTTTTATAGAATGATAAAATTATTTGGCAATATTGTACATTTTCATTTACAACAAAGAATCGAGCTATAAAAAAAATTTATAGCGTTTGTGAGAAAAAATTAATCGACACACAATAATGTGTTAATGTAAATGTTAATATTTATCTCTATAATTTATAGAAAGAGAGAGAGAGAGAGAGATTAAATTTTTTCACACCGTTTTTATTATCATCATCATCATAGTAATTATTATAGTCGTACAGTAAACATTTCGTAAACTTAAACACGTGCTAAAAAAAATTATAGTCTATAAAAACTTTCTAAAAAAAAAAATTATTTAATCGAATTCCTTTTTTATTATTAATAAATTTAATAAAAATTATTATTATTATTATTATTATTATTATTATTATTATTATTATTAATTTTTTTTTAACCCGGAGGAGTTGATTTTTAACAACATCCGGTTTCGATTTTTTTTTTTGCGTACTCTCGTCGTCAAAACAAACGACTATATTTTTCGCTATAGCGCGTCATTCGCTATAAAAAAACGTTTATACGGTCATCGAATTATTTTCGTTCGCGTGACGTCAGTTCTTTCGAAAAGTTTAAAAAATTTAAATAAAAAAAAAAAACAGAATAATAATAATAATAATAATAATAATAATAAACGGAAATCATTGACCGGAAATGTTAAAAATTTTCTAACGGAAGTAATGGCAAAAAAAAAAACTGATGATGGTGATAATCCATCGATTCGATTTTTGTAGCGTAGAAAGGCACACACACACACACAGATAGACAGAAAGAGAGACGAAAGAAAGAGAGAGAGAGATAGAGACACTCCAGGAAGAATGAAAGAGAGAGAGAAAAAGTCACACACACAGACAGAGAAAGAAAGAGAAAAAGACGCACAAACAGAGAGAAATAAAAGAGTAAAAGAGAGAGAGATAGAGACACTCCAGGAAGAATGAAAGAGAGAGAGAAAAAGTCACACACACAGACAGAGAAAGAAAGAGAAAAAGACGCACAAACAGAGAGAAATAAAAGAGTAAAAGAGAGAGAGACAGAAACGCACACACACACACACAGATAGAGAAAGAGAGACAGAGACGCACACACACGCACAAATAAAGAAAGAGAGAGACAGAGACACAGGGCGAGTTTTACATAATTTTTTCTAGTAAAAAAAAAAAAAAAAATTTATTTATTTTGAACGTGGCAACAACGTGTAAGTTTCTTTTATATACAAAATAGAATTGGATTCCAAAACAGGTTTTTTTTTTTTTAAAAAAATTCCAGGTTTACTTCCACGTTTTTTATTATTATTATACACACGATATTCATTTTTTTTTTTTGTAGACGTGGCTGGAGGGTCGTAAAACTTTTTTTTTTATTACATATTTAACTTATTATATTATTAATTTAACGGTTTTTATTTTTTTTTATTTTCACTTTTTCGTCCAGGAATACAAGATGATGAATATTATTATTATTATTATTATTTGTATTTGTATTTGACTCTTGACGTGGAAAAAAAAAAAATCAATGTTTCTCTCTCTCACTCTTTCTCTCACTCAAAACGGAAGTTGGCGAATAGATGAATAAATCAATCAATCACTGTCGTTAGATTCATATTAAATTTTCAAATATCTCTCTCTCTCTCTCTCTCTCTCTCCTTCCACGATTTTTTCACATCGGACGATAAAAACTATTTCCCCCCTCCTCCCTCCTTCCCTCCCCACAATTGCGTTGTTCGCACTTTTTTTTTTTTTTTAACCACTTCCGGTATATTTGATAACCAAAAAAAAATAAAAAAATAAAAAGTCGGTCAATGAATCATCGGTAGGTTAATCAATCAATTCATTAATCATTCATTCATTCAATCAATCAATCAATCAATTTAAAATGCATCATTTCACAAGTAGTAGTATTGGTAGTAAAGGTAATGAAAAATTTCAAACGCGATTCAAACATTTATTAAAATAACGATGATGATGATGATAATAATAATAATAATAAATGTTATTTCAAGGACGATGATGATGGCGACGGTTGAGAGACGACCGACCGATACCGGATGTGGGTCAATTATGTCGGGGTTATTAAAATGTTGTTTGTTGCGGTTGTCATTCGGTTGACGAAAAAGAATAAAAATTATTATTATTATTATTATTATTATTATTATTTTAAATCGAAAAAAATTTTTCACAATAATTCCAGAACATTCCAACGGATTTTTCCTTTAAATTATTATTATTATTACGTTGCCTTTTCAACCGCGAGGTGGATGATGCGCGATTTCCATGTCCGCGCCCTGCGTGACGAGATCAACGCGAATTCAATTATGACAGAGAGAGAGAGAGAGAAAAAATGAGACACAGAAAGAAAGAAAGAGAGAGAGAGAGTCGAAAAGTTACGAAAGTTTTTTTTATTTATTTACCGACTTTCAAATTTTTGACGCTCCTTTTTTTTTTTTTTTGGTAAACTACGCGTTTGTTCCTTCCTTCTTTCCTTCCTTCGTTTGTTTGTTTGTTTGTTCTATCGACGTCTTCTCTTTGCCTTGTTTTGAATGATTTCTTTCTTTTCGCACCAACCGAAAACTTAAATTACGCAAAAGACGACATAAATAAGGAAAAAAAATTTCCCCGTCGATCCGCGCGCGAAATCACTGATCGATTATTGATGACGTTGCCGTTTTTTTGTACATTGGGAGGGGGAGGGGAATGGGGGGGGAGTTAACTACGACCTTTAACCTCACCGTTTCTTTTTTATTATTAATTTTTCCAAGATTAAGAGTTATTCTCTCTCTTTGATTGCTTCGTATGCACGCACGCACGTTTTTCAAACGCGACGCAAACGGAAATTTTCCCCATTAATAAAATCCGTTAATCATCATCATCATCATCATCATCATCACGGTTATATTTATTATTATTATTATTATTATTATTTAAAATATTTCCCGTGGCATTAGTTAGATGGTTTTGTTTTAATGATCGTAAATAAAATGAAAAAAATTTCTTTTATTATTATTATTATTATTATTATTAAAGATACGACCAAATTTCACCACCTTTGTTATAAATTTTTTTGATTTGAATTTTCACTGTCACGGTTGTTGAATGTTTGTCCGTTGGTTGTTTGGTTGTTTGGTGGGTTGGTTGGTTTGTAATTCTTCTGATGACCCAAATTAAAATTTTTTTTTTTTAAACTTTTGACACTCACGCGTCACGCACACGCAAACGTCATCACATCGTGCGCGGGACATACTTTCGGGTATTTCTCATATACGTAAAAGGAAAATAAAAAAAATTAATTATCATTCGATTTGTGTGTGTGTGAGAGAGAGAGAGAAAGAGAAAGAGAGAGAAAAGTAACCGAAATCCATGTCGTCGTCGTCGTCGTCGCCTACGGGATCGATGACGATGATCGATGACGTCACAAATAATCGAACCAATTCATTTATTAATTTTAAAAAATTGATTTTCGAACTTCCGGGGAAAGGGGGAGTCGTCAGGGAAAAGTTTTTTTTCTTTCTTTCTCTTTTCCATTTTCATATTATCATTATTAATAATAATAATAATAATAATAACGCGCCGACGGTTGGAAAATTTTTCTTTTAGTTTTTCCTCTCTCCGAATCACGTGACTATTTAAAAACGGACATAAACGCGAACGTTTCGTTATAATTTTCATTCTCCCTTTACTCTTTTCACTTAATTCCTTCTACCTTTACAATCATCATCATCATCAATCATAATAATAATAATGATGACGATTCTCGTTTTACGCGTTCGAAAACGGTGGGAGAGGGACTGGGGGGGAAGGAAGGGGGCAGGACGACACGACGACAAAATCTTGTAAACTTTTTCCTTCATTTCCACAAACATTATCAACTCATCGGCCATCATTTTCTTCTTCTCTATCATCATCATCATCATCATCATCATCATTTCAATTATTATTATTATTATTATCGTTAATTCATTTTTATTAACAATTGAATGACTTCTTTCCTTTTTTTTTCAAATATTTATTTTTATTTATTTTAAAATTTTTATTCCAATTTGTTTTGTTTTTTTTTTTTTTTTTTTTTTAAATCACTGTACAAAATTAAAACGTTCTTCCATACTATTTTAATTAATATTATTATTATAATTATAATTAATATTATTATTATTATTATTATTAATTTTATTATTATTATCATTAATTAAACTTTTTTCTTGATTTCTTTTGATTTCTTCTGATTTCTTGATTTCTTTCATTTAACTTTTCATATAACCGAAACACCCGTGAAAACATTTAAAAAAAAAAAAAAATTACTATATAATTAAACAACGATATATCGACGACATGTTTTTTTTTATTGATTTATTGATTTATTGATTTATCGATTTTATTATTATTTATAAAAAAAAAATCTGCGTTTCATTCATAATAACACACACCCGATAATATTAATAATGATGGTGATCCACCGCCGCCGCCGACGGATCTACTAATCGATTCGATTTTGTTGATCAATCTTGTCTCTCTTTGTTTCTTCTTCTTCTTCGTCTTTTTCTTGGTCTTCTTCTTGGTCGTCTTCGCCGTCTTCTTCTTCTTCGCCGCCGTCGTCGTCGTCGTCGTCATTATCATCGTCCCTCACGTGTTGTTGCACGTTGATTCCTTTTTGATTTTATCTTCCGCTATAATCGTTTTGTTGGTCGTTTCCGACGTTTCCTCTTTGTCCGACGACGACGACGAAGATGACGACGTCGTCGTTGACGACGTTTTCTCTTCGACTTTGACTGAATTTTTGACTCCCATGAGAACCGATAGCGAATCTTTGACCGCGTGATAAATAATGTTTTTTATTTGCAATTTATCCTCGTGATTGAGATGCTTGTCCGAAAGATCGCGAAATTCTTGGGTCATGTGGAAGCAGTGAGACACGTTTTCCGGCGACACGAAATCCTCTGCGACTTTCATGCAATTGTGAAGATTTCGAACCTGTCGATAAGAAAAAAAAAAAAAAAAAAACCGTTAGCATTACGATCGTTAGGAAACGGAAGATTATCTCTCTCTTTCTCTCGCTCTCTCTCACCTGATGGGGAGCACCGGCCGGTATGAAAACGGCATCGCCTAAACACTGAACGATCGCGTAACCCTCTATACCGTATTCTTCGTACAATCGGACCCTTAGCGGACCGTCCAGGTACCAGTCTTGATCGTGTATCGGATCGTGATGAGGTTCCAACCTTGCTCCTTTTTCTATTGCCACTTTATTCAATAGATCCCTTATTTTATCCGCATCTCTCGCGTTGTATATGTGCCAGAGAGCTCCGGGGAATTCACCTTTTTCTCTAACTCTTCTTCTCGTCAATATGTCGCAACCGGCTTCGTCGATTGCACGAAATGCTTCTGTAGGGGAGGGAGGGGAAGGAAAGAAAAAAAAATGTTAGAATCGATCAATTCCGAACCCGGAAACTAACGCACGCGCGCGCGCGCGCTCATAAACCCTTTATAATACCTTTTATGTGTTCTTCGTTGTCTCCGTCTTTAGGTATTCCAACGTAAACCATGACGTTGACGGCATCCGATATGTCCAAGTGTAAATTTGTCGTTCCTTTGTCCGGATGCAAAGCGGATCCGTAAGCGTTGTACATTTTTGGTCCGAGATCAGGGCGCACGAAACATTCTGGTAATCGGCTCGCGAGATTTAAACGACCGTTTCTGTGCGTGTATTCCGAGAGGGGTAAAACCTTCATCAAGTCGTTAAATCTAGATGGTAACATTTCGGCAAAATCTTCTCCCGGAGGCCAGTCTTTCAATTTTAAAAGCATCGGATTTCCCCTTTCGTCTTTTAACCTTTTTGAAAAATGTTCGAAACCTTCCCAGAACTTTCTCATTGGTTGGTTAGGAACTATTTTCCCCGTCATGCAATTTATAAGATCGTTTTTATCGTCTCCGAAATCTTCGGCAAACGAATCCGGATGCCACAAAGACATGTCGAGATTTTTTGACACGTCGCGAACGATGACGGGTTGACCTCGCTTCCACTGATCCTGCAACAACAATAGCAAGCGTTATTTTATAAGGTTCGGGCGCTTCTTTTTCCGACTCGATAGAGGTATACTATCCGGTTACTCACCTGAAAGATTTTGTAATTATTCGGACAACTCGGATCGTTGAGCCTAAGCAATTTTCCATCGCACAGCCACGAGTGAGGAACCCCAGGGTAAAGTTGTTTGCTTTCTGCCAAAGTCATGACTCTACGAGGCAACGTCATGGAATCACCTCTTTCAGTCCATTTGTGTATGTTCAGTCTGACGAAGTGTTTTAACTCTGGCCCCTTTTCCGGCGATGCCAACATTGAATCACGTTCTTCGTTCATTTCCGCCATGCTTTTCTCTATAGCGCTTGATATTAACTGTGGAGGGGGGGAGGGGGGGGAACAAAACATAAAATTAATTATTCGAAAAAGTGTCCATCTTTTGATTATTCGAAAGGGTAAAAGACGTCATTTATATACCTCGTCGATATTTTCATTCTTTTGCTTTTTCTTATCCGATTGAGGGGATTGAGGCGGCGGACTTCCGGTTCCTCCGCCGTTCGGCTTATGCGACGGCCTTATGAGAAGCTCTCTCAGAGTCGAATAATTTTCTTCCTTGTCCGAATCCGAATCGCTCACGCTACTCAAATCATCGCTTTTCTTTTTATCATCTCCTCCGGAATCTCCCATCCAATTATTCAACGGTGAATTTTTACTTCCTTCAGTCTTAACAGTTGAGCCATTTGTTGCGTTACTATTATTATTATTATTATTATTATTATTATTACTACCACCGTTGCCCTTTCCTTTGTTTTCTTTATCGGATTCCTTTTTATCCGATCTGATCCCGTTTATTGATTCAGTCTTTATTATGTTTTTCAAAAGATCCTAAAAAAAAAAAAAAAAAATGTATAACTCTCGTCCTCTTCCTCTTCCTCTTCCTCCATTTTCAAAAGGAAAAAAAGGGAGGGAAACGATATTATTATTATCATTATCATTATACCTTTGAAATCCCGTTCGATTTCAATTCTTTGCTCATAGGGCAATCGCAATACTGTGAAATGTTGTAGAGGCTTCGAACTTCGTGAAGTTTTCGACCCAGAGTCATTAGTGAATCCCCTGCGATGATTTGTGTTAACATCAACTTTTCTTGCTCGTGCGCTTGACGGTTTGTACATTGAAGCCATGAAAAATCATCTCTGTCTCTTCCAGGTTCTCCCCATACTTTAACTGTACCATTTTTACGACCCTGAAAATTCACAATCGCACGATATGTAGTAGTAGTAGTAGTAGTAGTAGTAGTAGAGTTATTTATTGTTGTGTGTGCATAATGATAATTAATTTTTTTTTTTCCTCCTCTTCTCCTCACCTTGTAACAATCCAAACAAACAACAAAACCACATTTTCCACAAGCCCAGTGAAAATTAAATAGAGTTGTTTCACAAACGTCACACATTTCTCTCACTCCCTGTACGACTCTCTTCCACGCGATCGTTTTATCTAAAGGAGAGTAAATAAAATGAAAATAATCATTTCAAAATTATATTTTATTATTATTATTATTATTACTATTATTACTACTATCACTTTTCAGCAAGCCAAGCTTTTAAATACTTGTAGGAATTTTTTTTTTTAAACACTTATTATTATTATTATTATTATTAATGTTGTTGTTGTTGTTGTTGTTGTTGTCGTTGTCGTTATTTGTTATTTTTCTCGTACCTTCAGACATGTGAATCGAAACGGCCTCTTTTTCCTGCTTAAGCAAATCGCAAAATTGATCACCGACTTGTTGTAGTAAAAACCTAGACATGACAAGATCTAAATCGGCCGGCGGTTTATCGGGCGATGGAAGCCATAGTTTTAAATCTTCCTGAAATCAATCAAATTTTGGTGAAATGAATTATTTTTTATTTAAAAGAAAAAATTATTATTATTTTTTTGCTTTTTTCCAGATTGAACTGCATGAACGAAGTGAAGATAGGGGAGGAGAGAGAGAGAGAGAAGAGAAGAGAGAAAACAGAAGAGAGAAGATAGAAGAGGAAAAACAAAAGATAAAAGAGAGTGAAAAAGAAAACAGAAGGGAAAACACATAAGAAAGAAGAGAAAAGACAGAAGTGAGAACAGGGAACACGGATGAGAAAGAAGACAGAAGAAATAGAAGTCAAAAGACAAAGAAGACAGAAAAGAAAGCAAACAGGAGAGAAAACAGAAAAGACAGAAAACAAGAGAGAAGACAGAAGAGAGAAAACAGAAAAGAGAAAGAGAAGACCGAAGAGAGAAGACAGAAAAGAAAGCAAACAAGACAGAAAACAGAAAAGACAAGAGAGAGAAGACAGAAGAGAGAAAATAGAAGAAAGAGAAGACAGAAGAAAGAAAATAGAAGAGAGGAGGTAAAGAAGACCGAACAGAGAAGATAAAGAAGACCGAAGAGAGAAGACAGAAAGGATAGAAGAGAAAGAAGATAGAGAAAACAGAACAGAGAAGACAGAAAAGACAGAAGAGAGAGAAGACCGAATAGAGAAAAGAAGAAAAGTAAAAGAAGAAGAAGAGAGAAGAGAGAAGAAAAGTAAAAGAAGAAGAAGAGAGAAGAGAGAAGAAAAGTAAAAGAAGAAGAAGAGAGAAGAGAGAAGAAAAGTAAAAGAAGAAGAAGAGAGAAGAGAGAAGAAAAGTAAAAGAAGAAGAAGAGAGAAGAGAGAAGAAAAGTAAAAGAAGAAGAAGAGAGAAGAAGAGAAGAGAAGAGAAGAAGAGAAGAGAAGAGAAGAAGAGAAGAGAAGAAGAGAAGAGAAGAGAAGAAGAGAAGAGAAGAGAAGAGAAGAGAAGAAGAGAAGAGAAGAAGAGAAGAGAAGAGAAGAGAAGAGAAGAAGAGAAGAGAAGAAGAGAAGAGAAGAGAAGAGAAGAAGAGAAGAGAAGAAGAGAAGAGAAGAGAAGAGAAGAGGAGAAGAGAAGAGGAGAAGAGAAGAGGAGAAGAGAAGAGGAGAAGAGAAGAGGAGAAGAGAAGAGAAGAGAAGAGAAGAGAAGAGAAGAGGAGAAGAGAAGAGAAGAGGAGAAGAGAAGAGAAGAGAAGAGAAGAGAAGAGAAGAGAAGAGAAGAGAAGAGAAGAGAAGAGAAGAGAAGAGAAGAGAAGAGAAGAGAAGAGAAGAGAAGAGAAGAGAAGAGAAGAGAAGAGGAGAAGAGAAGAGGAGAAGAGAAGAGAAGAGGAGAAGAGAAGAGGAGAAGAGAAGAGGAGAAGAGAAGAGGAGAAGAGAAGAGGAGAAGAGAAGAGAAGAGAGGAGAGAGGAGAGAGGAGAGAGGAGAGAGGAGAGAGGAGAGAGGAGAGAGGAGAGAGGAGAGAGGAGAGAGGAGAGAGGAGAGAGGAGAGAGGAGAGAGGAGAGAGGAGAGAGGAGAGAGGAGAGAGGAGAGAGGAGAGAGGAGAGAGGAGAGAGGAGAGGAAAAGGGTTCAGGAAAAGAGTAAAGGGTTCAGGAAAAGAGTAAAGGGTTCAGGAAAAGAGTAAAGGGTTCAGGAAAAGAGTGAAGGGTTCAGGAAAAGAGTGAAGGGTTCAGGAAAAGAGTGAAGGGTTCAGGAAAAGAGTGAAGGGTTCAGGAAAAGAGTGAAGGGTTCAGGAAAAGAGTGAAGGGTTCAGGAAAAGAGTGAAGGGTTCAGGAAAAGAGTAAAGGGTTCAGGAAAAGAGTAAAGGGTTGAGGAAAGGGGTAAAGGGTTGAGGAAAGGGGTAAAGGGTTGAGAAAAGGGGTAAAGGGTTGAGAAAAGGGGTAAAGGGTTGAGGAAAAGGGTAATAGGATGAGGAAAAGGGTAATAGGATGAGGAAAAGGGTAAAGGGTTGAGGAAAAGGGTAATAGGATGAGGAAAAGGGTAAAGGGTTGAGGAAAAGGGTAATAGGATGAGGAAAAGGGTAACAGGAAATATGGTAGAGGGAAGAGGAAAAGGAAGAGCAAAAGGGTAAAAGAAAATATGGTAGAGGGAAGAGGAAAAGGAAAAAGGGTAGAGGAAAGAGGGTAGAAAGAGAAGGCAGAAGAGAGAAGACGGAACAGAGAAGAGAGGAGAAAGAAGAGGGAAGAGAGAGAGATAAATTCTCTCTCTTCTCTTTTCTGTCTCTCTCTCTTTCTCCATTCCCACCTGTAAGAAAGGGCAACAAATGTAAAAAATACTTACTTCCGAGGGATCGGTGTGGGGATCCGAAAATCCCGCAATTGCTAGTTGACCGTTTTTTGTGTAACGAAGTTTTCTAAAAGCGTAAAATCTACAGAAAATGTTGGGCATGTTTTTTGACCTTTGATTCGGAGTCCACCGACACTCGCGGCATTTTCCCAATTTAGGAGCCACCTCGAAACATGGTCCGTCTTGCAGAAAACTTTCACCTGTTTTTTTCAACTGCGAAATCGGCGGCTTTCGGAACGGGTCACGTGAAGGAACCGGCGGATCGTCCCGAGACTTTTTGTTCCGCGGTTCCTCATCTCGCTCGTTTTTTGAACTCTTAGGTCGACGGCCACGTTTCTTCGGTTCTTTACTCGCGCTGCTCGACGAGTTGTTCATGTTTCCGGCTCTACTCTTGCTACCGCTCAAGTTTGCACTCGCCCCACTGTCTGAATCCTTTTCACTTCCCGTGTCTTTATCACTGTCACTGCTTTCACTATGCACTGGCGTCGCCGGAACTTTTTTCTTTTTATTGTCTTCTGCCGTGCTACGTTTGCCCCCTTTTTTCTTTTTTTTCACTTTCGCTTTTCTTTTGGCTGGCGATTTTCTAGTTTCTTGATCCGAACTAGAAGAATCATCCGGATGGGAAGATTTTGACATTTCAACGTGTCCATTTAATAAATTACTGTCTTTGTTATTCGGCTTCCGATTTGCTTTACCAGTGTTGGACGATTTCGACTTGCTTATGCTATTAACTGCGTTCGGTAACCCACAACTTACACTTTCTTTTGTAGTATTTGAAATAGTTGGCGTGGTTCGACCTCGGTCTAAAGTTATTGGAAGCGTCACACATGTACCACTTCCCACCACTCCTTCGTTGTCTTCGGTTCCGTCTTCCCCCGAATGCCTTTCTAACCATGCTTTTTTCAATTTATGTACAGGATAAGCTGATGCTTTTACCGGACCAGGACTATTCGATTTATCAGAATCTGCACTTGTCGGAGTAACTTTTATTGGCGTTCCCGTGGAAAGACCTGGACTGCTACAGACGGGACTCGCGCGAGCTTGAGGAGCCAAAACAGTCGGCACGCCAGAACTTCCCGTGCTGCTAGGTCTAGTAGAATCCGCCGAATTGGTTCTCGCCGGAGCTTGTACGGGAGTAATAGTAACTGATGAAGTAGCCGACGACGCAGGTTCCGAGTTGGGAGTGAAAACTAAATTAGCCGGAGTAATGTAAGCAGCTGCATTGACGACCGTCGTGATTGTTGTTGCAGCTCCCGCCACTAAGGGACTCGGCTCGCTGACTCTTGATAGCAGAGGTTGAACGTGAGACGAAGTTGCCGGAGGAACTTCCAACGAAATGTGTTGCGGGGATTCGTTACGTCGTTTTTTAGCGGCGTCCACCGCTGTTATTGGTATCGGAGTTCCCTTGCGCTTTGGTGAACTACTCCTTTCAGACACGCCCAAATCCAAAGGTTGCGTTTGAAAATTAGAACTGTTGTGAAGAACCGGAGAAACCTGCAACGGAGAGGACCGCGAAGCAGGATGAGGTGCAGCACTTGCGGTCGGAGGAGAAGTACCCAAATGTTGTGGAGGAGGTTTCACTGCCAGACCCGAAACAATTCCAGGCGGTGGACCAGGATAGAGCCTAGCATCGAGCACCGTGCTAGTTCTACTGCTGTGAGCAGGAGGAGGAGGAGGCCCACCCGCAACGGGAGAGCCAGAGGGAGGTTGATGTAGAGGTACTTGCTGATAGGGGGACGGAGAAGCTTTAGACGTTAACGGCAAAGGAGCGGCAGCAATGTCTTGGGTTCGACAAACCGGAATTCCCGTTGTTATGCCAGCAGTGGGTTTTCCGTAAATATGAGGAGGAGCGGGACTGCTAACTTTCGGTTTGGATGAACTACTAACACTGGCAGTCATTGAATAATGGGCGGTAACTGGAGCCGTTGGATACGGATAGGAACCGACGGTCGCAGGTTTCGAAGTATAAGGGGTTCCCGGAATGAACCGCTGCTCGGTCGTCGGCAAATGAGGCGACTGACGCTGATGATGTACATTATGAGTGACGGGTCTATGATGCTTTTGCTCTATATGATGATGAGAGAGAGGATGCGGAGGCTGCGTCGGATTCCTGTAGTCGTAAGTTCCGGCCGGCTTGTGTGCATTCGTTGTGGGCGTTAAATAAGGTTGCGGCTTCGGGGAATGTGTTTGACTTTTAACATCACTATGATGAGAGTTTTTCCCTTCGTTTTTAACGATCACAGAACTTTTTAAATCAGCCGTCAGCGGAGGAGGATTCGGCAAATCCCTTTCCATGGGCCTGTGATGAGGTTTAACATCGGGCCTTCCCTTCTCATGAGTCAAACCTACCGGTGGATAATTCGGATAACCGAAAAGACTAAAATTAGGCTCTGCTTTCGGCAAAGCAGTGTGAGCGTGAGCCATCGGTTTCTCAGCGGGCTTGGCACTTCCTGGACGACTATGCGCAGGCGGAGGATAATCCAGTTTGGCTGGATTACTTGGCGGCCTTGTTGGCGCGGTGTAAAATCTTTCCCGGTCGTGCCGTTGACGTTCGGCCAAAATCCTTTGATGCTGAAGCGCTTGATGCTGCTCGTCGACTCTTTTCCTCTCTTCTTCTCGCGTAGGAGGAGGTAAATTATTTATTATGTTCATGTTCCATTTCTAAAAAAAAAAAATATAAAATTAATAAATAAAAATTAAATGACGTGAGAAAGTCAAAAATATACACGTTTACATAAACGATACTAATAATAATAATAACAATAACAACTGTAAGAAATTCATTGACATTAATTTCGTAATAATAATAATAATAAAAATATTATTAATAAAAATTAATGGGAATTGCATTTCTTAAGAGAGAGAGAAAGAGAGAAAAAGTAAAAAATTCTCTCTCTCTCTTTTTATTAATTTTGCATTCGCGAGATGTCGAAAATTGAAATTAAAATCAAAACCGACAGCAATTGAATGCAACGTCACTTTTTTCTCCCTCCCCTCTTCTATTTATTTACGTCACGCGTAATTCAACGTTGGGTGAATTATTATTATTATTCTAAGAATACGTCGTTCAATAAAAACATTTCACCGAATCAACAGCAGAAAGAAAGAGAGAAAGAGAAAAACCGGGGGAAGAAAGAGATAGCGAAAGACGGGGAGAGAGAGGGGGAGGGGGAGGGGAAAAAGAAAATCGCGGAGCACAAAACTCATAAAATAATATTATTTATTATAACGGGCGTTTAAAAAAAGATTTTCTTTTTTTTTCTTTTTTTTTTTGTTTTTAGACGAATTGGATTCGAGCCATTCTAATTCGAATTAATGCATTTCGTTTCACGGATCTTTTTTTCTTTTTTCTTCTGTTTGAATATCTTTAACCGGGAGCCGCTTCAAAGCCATCACAGACGCCGCCACCGTCGTCGTCGTCGTCGTCATCTCAAAATTCGCCGTGGAAATTTTTTTTTTTTCTCTTCAAAATTTCAAATAAAGAAAGAAATTGAAATAAAACAACTAAATTTTTTTTTTTTTTTTTAAATTCTAACAATTTTTCCACCCTTTTCCTTTTCCCAATTCATTCACCTCCGATTCCCTCTCCTTTTTCGAAATCGTAAGCCGTCGTGCTTAATGATAATAATAATAAATACGAATGAAATGCATTTAAAATAAAATTTTTTTAAAATTCTATCGAGTCAATGTGAGTCATTTTAAAATCGAATCCTTTTCATTATTTGCTTTCTCCCCCCTCTCTCTCTCTCTCTCTCTCTCTCTCTCTCTCCCCCCTCCTGCCTGATCCCCTCTCTTTTTCTCTTTTCGTTCCTCCTTTGGAAATCGTTTTTTTTTTTTTTTAATAATAATCTCTGACTCTTGCCACTACTAAAACAAGCAAAAAGAAATAATATCACAATAATACTAATGACGACGACGACGACGACGATGATGACGTAGTTGACGATGGTGCGGTGGCGGTGACCTAAGTTTCCACGCCGATCAATAAGCAAAAAAAAAAAATTTCTCTCTTTCATTTTTCCCTTTCTTTCTTTCATTTCTTTGTTTTCACCCTCAATAAATACGTTTTGAAAAAAAAAAAAAAAAATTCCTTTTTCTTTTAAAATCCTGTTTGATAAAAAAAAGGATTTGGGATTCTCCCTTTCCGCCATTTAATTATTTAATGGTTTCGAAAAACGCGTCACGACATGAGATTCTTTTTTCTCTCTCTCTCTCTCTCTCTAGGAAAAAACCTTTTATTTTTTACCATTTTATAATTGTCGATTTTTTTTTCCCCCCTCTTTCTCTTCTCTCTTTTCCTCCTTCCCCTTACCGCCATATTCCTCGTATTCCTTTTTACCACTCCTTCCCCTTCCCTCCCCTTTCATCCCCCCTCACTCATTCGCTCTCTCTCTCACTCTCACTCTCACTCCCTTTACAAGTGTAATTACCTTTGTTTGAGCTGCCAGCCTGAGACTTTCTTCGAAATGTTTATGAACGGCTTGCTCCGTTATTCTTTGCTGTTCCTTTCTTTCCTTTTCTTCCCTTTCTTTCTTTTCCCTTTCCTGCCTTTCCCTTTCTAATTTTTCCCTTTCTTGCCTTTCACGTTCCTTGTGCTTTTCTATTTCTTGATCTCTCCTGAAAATAAAATATATACATATATATATAATCATGTCGAATAATCGTTTACCGTTATTAAATTCAGTCATTTATAAAAAAAAACCGTAAGACGAAGAAACCGACATTTATCATTTTCTCTCTATCTATCTCTCTCCCTCTCTTTCTCTCTTTCTTTCTCCACGATCTAATTTGAATCAGAGGAAGTAATAAAACACAAAAAAAAAAAAAAAAAAAAATTAATGAAGGAAAAATTTGATTTGAAAACTTGTAATTCGTGAAAGTATTACGAAAATATTTTCATTATACAAAACGCGGTCTTATCACCACCGCCATTGCGATTGTTGTTTATTATTATTATTATTATTTAATTGCTATCAGTAAAACACATTATCCGAAAGTGGAAACGCGTGACGACACAAATCAAACATTAAACGCGGTAGTAAATATAAAAAAAAAAAATATATATATAAATAAATCAAATTACAAAACGCGGCGTTCTTTGATAAAAATTTTAAAAACCCGTCGCACGCGTTCATTTATCGCCACCTTCGATTTATCATCATCATTATTATTATTATCATCATCAACGTAAAAACGCCATTCAAACTGTTTCGGTACCACCGCGTTACCGGTTACGGTAAAATCTAATAAATAAATAAATAAAATAAAATAAAAAAGTTTCGAATGAAAAAATACTTTTTCTCTCTCTCTCACTCTCTTTCTATCCGTCTATCTCTCTTTTTTTTTTTTCATTTTCCTTTTTTACTCTTTCCATTAATTTCCTTTTTTCCTTTTTTTCCTTTCTTTCTTTTTTTAAATAATATTTCAAATGAATGACAATTCCAATTAATTTCTTTCCTTTGTATTGTATTATTTGTGAAAAGTATTCATTTTAATAAACCCAAAGGCACGAAATTAACAATAATGATGATAATGATGATGATGATAATAGAAATTTCTCTTTGGTGTATTTTTCTACCCTTTGATCTTCTCATCCCTTATTTTAAAAACTGTTTCCTACATTTTCCTTTATCCGATTCATCTTTCATCTCTTTTCCCCCCTTTTGCTTTTCCCCTTCACTCTCCCGTTATTAAATTCAGTCATTTCGATCATTTATGAGGTTCTCATGCGATTCGTCGATTGTTTTAACGCGAAACGAAAGACGGGATTTTTCGTTTCGAAAACTAGACTATAATTTTCAATTGAATCTCATTGAACGAATTGACACGACTTCCGGTAGTTCGAATTGGTAACCGAGTTACAAACTCCCTCTGTCGAGTGGTACACCTTTCGATTTAATAATTGATTCATTTTTACTTTTAAAAAATTTTTGTTTTAATAAAAAACCTGTTCGTCGAACCACGAAGAGAAACTAATAATAATAAGAGTGTTCTCTCTTTCTCTCTCTCTCTCTCACTACGTAACTTTACCGCGATTTAAAAGAAACAAGAGAGAGAGAGAGAGAGAGAAAATGGAGGACGTAATGGAGACGACAAAGACTCGATCATCACTCGTTTTAAATGCGCGCAAGCATTAACCTTGTTCGACCGCCATTACCAAATTTTTTTTTTTTTTAAACTCGTATATGCGCCCAAAATTAATTAAACGTAAAAAAAAAAAAAATCAAGAGAACCGCTTTCAATCTGAACGATTTTAATAATTACTACCGGATTCTTTTTCTTCTTTTTTTTTTTTTTTTTTACTCGGCGTGATTTAAACCCACGTTTTTTTTCTCTCTCTCTTTAATTTCGACCAATAGAAAACGAACAAACAAACAAACAAACAAACAAAAATACGGACGTACGAAAGAACAAACAAACACCTATAATTATTCGTCTTCAACAACCGTGATGGGAAAAAAAAAAAAAAAGAAAAAAAAAGGCATGATTCGTAACATATTTTTCCAAGAATGAAACCTAACAAAAAAAAAAAAAAAAAAAAAAGGATAATATTTCATTTAAGGCGAACGAGTTTGTTTGTTTGTTGCAGCTGAAATCCTTCAAAAGATTTGCTTTGCTCTCTCTCTCCCTCTCTCTCACTCTCTCTATCTATCTATCTCCCTCCCTCTCCCTCCCTCTCTCTCACTCTCTCTATCTATCTATCTCCCTCCCTCTCTCTCACTCTCTCTATCTATCAATCTCCCTCTCTCTCACTCTCTCTATCTATCTATCTCCATCTCTCTCTCATATGAAAACAACAACAACCAACACCACCACCGCTGCCATCACTACAAAAACCAAACGTACGCCTGCCTGCTTGCCTGCTCGCATTTGGGAGAGGAGGGGGGGGAAACAACAACAACAACCGTAATTAAAAAAATATTTTTCAAAATGAATTTCTCATCCTTCGTGTTTCAGGCAAATCAAAAAAGAAAAACGCCTACCCCTTCCCTTCCCTCCTCTCCCCTTCCCCTTGTTTCCCCTCTTCCACCGCCATTTAAATTTTAAAAAAAAAACATCTCGAAAATTTTTTTTTTTTTTTTTTTTGTTTAAATTTTAAAGGTCATCAACTTTGAGTGTGCTTGTGTGTGTGTGTGTGTGTGTGTGTGAGAGAGAGACAAACATAACAACTTTATGCTAATTATCGATTTTCGGACCTCCATTATTATTATTATAATAATAATAATCGTCAATTCGAAGAGGAGAAGGGGGGAATTGGGGAAGGGGAGAGAGAAACGTAACCTGTTACTTTAAACTAATTTTTAAAAAAAAAAAAAATTTTTTTTTTCTTTTTTGATACTCCTTGAAAATTTTTAAAATGTTTCACCGAAACCGAATCTGGGATGCTGGAGAATACGGAGGAGCAGAAAGAGAGAAAAAGAGAGAGGGTGAAACAAATTTCAACCCTCTTTTTAAAAACAGAAACAATTTCTTAGACCTCGAAGGGAGGGAAAACAAAAAAACAAAAAAAAAGTTTTATCGATTTTTGAAACATTTCCATTCCATTCCAGGCCAAAAAAAAATTTCTTTTCTTTCTTTCTTTCTTTCTTCCTTCCCCCTTTTTTCTTTCTCTTTCTCTTTCTCTCTCTCTCCCTCTCTTCTCCCCCATTTAA